AACCCATGGGCTCAGGCAATCCACTCACCTCGGCCTCCCAAGGTGCGGGATTACAGGTTGAGCCACCAAGCCCAGCCTCCTCTGTTTTCTCACAGTAGTTTTATAGTTTTAGGTCTTATGTTTAAGTTTTTTTTTTTTTTCCCAATTAGTAATGTGTCTTGGAAACCTCATTAGCTATGATACCGCCACTGTACTAAGCTATGTTTTTTAAAACCCATTTTGAGATTATTTTTGTATTTGATGAGCAATACAAGTCGTTTCATTCTCTTGCATATGGATATCTATCTTTCTAACAGTATTTATTAAAGAGGGTATCCTTTCTGCAATGTATGTTCTTGGCACTTTTGTGGAAAATCAGTTGGCTGTAAATATATGGACTTATTTTTGGTTCTCTATTCTATTCCACTGGTCTACATATCTCGTTTTATATTAACACAATGCTGTTTTGGTTGCTGTAGCTTTATGGTATACATTTTGGAGTCAGGTAGTGTGATATATCAGCTTTGTTGTTTTTGCTCAGTATTCTTTGGCTATTTGGGTTCTTTTGTGGTTCCATGTGAATTTCAGGACTGCTTTCTCTATTTCTTTGAAGAATGTCATTGGTATTTTAATAGGAATTGCATTGAATATCTAGATTGCTTTGGGTTATACAGTCATTTTAACAATATGAATTCTCTGATCCACAAAAATGGGATGTCTTTATACTTGTCCTTACAGTGTTTTATAGCTTTCCTTGTAAAAATCTTTCACCTCTTTGGTTAAACCTATTCCAAAGATTTTTGTTTTTTTGTAGCTATTGTAAATGAGATTGCTTTCTTTTTCAGCTAGTTTGTTACTGGTGTATAAAAATGCGACTGATTTTTCTATTTTGGCTTTTTATCCTGCAACTTTACTGAATTTATCAGTTACATGAGTGTTTTGGTGGCATCTTTAGGTTTTGCTATATACAAAATTGTTGTCTGCAAAGAGAGGCAATTGGAGTTCCTCTTTTCCAACTTGGATGCCTTTTATTTCTTCTCTTGCCTGACTGCTCTGGCTAGGACTTCTAGTACTATGTTAAATGGGAATGATGAAGTGGGAATCCTTGTCTTTTTCCATTTCTTAGAGGAAAGGCTTTTTGCTTTTCCCCATTTAACATGATGTTAGCTATGGATTTGTTAAATATGGCCTCTATTACATTGAGGTATGTTCCTTCTATGTCTAATTTGCTGAGGGTTTTCATCAAGGAGAGATGTTGAATTTTATCAATTGCTTTTCTTCATCTATTGAGATGATCATGTGGTTTTTGTCCTTCATTCTGTTGATATGATGTTTACATTTATTGATTTACGTATGTTGAACCATCCTTACATCTCTGGGATAAGGCCCACTTAGATAACGATGTATTATTTTTTTGATGTATTATTGGATTCGTTTGCTAGTATTTTGCGAGGAATTTTGCATCTATGTTCATCAGGGGTACTGGTCTGTAGTTCTCTATTTTTGTTGTGTCTGTCTGGTTATGGTATCAGGGTAATGTTAGCCATGAAGAATGAGTTAGAAAGAGCCAGGCATGGTAGTACATGCCTGTAATCCCAGCACTTTGGGAGGTGGAGGTGAGAGGATTGTCTGGGCAACTTGGTGAGACCTCGTCTCTACAATAAATCAAAAAATTAACCATGTGTGGTAGCACATGCCAGCTACTTGGGAGGCTGAGGAGGAAGGATCATCTGAGTCCAGTGGGTCGAGGCTGTGGTGGCTGTGAGAGTGCCACTGCACTCTAGCCTGGGTGACAGAGTGAGACTCTGATTAAAAAAAAAAAAAAGATTATTTCCTCTTAAATTTTCCGGAATAGTTTGAGAAGAAATGGTGTTGTGCTTTACAAGTTTGGCATAATTCAGCAGTAAAGCCATGGGCTTTTCTTTGTTGGGAGAATTTTTATTACTGATTTAATATCATTACTTGTTTAATTGGTCTGTTGAAGTTCTCTATTTCTTCTTGGTTCAATCTTGGTAGGCTATATATATCCAGGAATTTATCTATTTCCCCTAGGTTTTCCAGTTTGTTAGTGTATAGTTATTCATAATAGTCTCTGATGATCTTTTGCATTTCTGTGGTATTAACTGTACTGTTTCCTTTTTTGGTTCTGGTTTTATTTGGGTTTTCCCTCTCTTTTCTTGGTTAGACTAGCTAGTGGCTTATCAATTTTGCTTACCTTCTCAAAAAACCAACTTTTTGTTTTGATACTTTGTACTTTTTAAAGCTTTAATTCATTAGTTCTGCTCTGATCTTTGTTGTTCTTTTCCTTCCACTAACATTAGATTTGCTTCATTCTTCCTTTTCTAGTTCCTTGAGGTGCAAGGTTGTTTATTTGAAATCTTTGTCCTTTTCTGATGTAGGCATTTATTGATGTAAACATCCCTCTTAGCACAACTTTTGCTGTATTCCATAGGCTTGGATATATTGTGTTTCTATTTTATTTTTTTTTTTGGAGTTGGAGTTGGAGTCTCACTCTGTTGCCCAGACTGGAGTGCAGTGGCCACTCCCGGCCACTGCAGCCTCGACCTGCTGGGCTCCGGCGATCCTTCTGCCTCAGCCTTACAAGTAACTGGAACCACAGACACGCGCTACCACGCCTGGCTAGTTTTTTGATTTATTGTAGAGATGAGGTCTTGCCAAGTTGCCTAGGCGGGTCTTGAACTCACAGGCTCAGGTAATCCACTCACCTCAGCCTCCCAAAGCGCTGGGATTACAGGCTGAGTCACTGAGCCCGGCTGTGTTTCTATTTTCAAGTTTCAAAATATGTTTTGATTTCTTCATTGACCCAGTGGTCATTCAGGAACATGTTGTTTAATGTCCATCTCTTTGTACAGTTTTCAAAGTTCCTCTTGCTATTGACGTTTAGTTTTATTCCATTGTGGTCTGAAAAGATACTTGAGATAATTTTGATTTTTTTTTTTTTTTTTTTTTTTGAGTCAGATCTCATGATCAGGATCATGGCCACTGCAGCCACAACCTCCTGGGCTCAGGTGATCCCTCCTCCTCAGCTTCCTGAGTTGCTATGACTACAGACACGTGCTCTCATGCCTGGCTAATTTTTTTTATTTATTATAGAGATGAAGTCTCATCAAGTTGCCCAGGCTGGTCTCAAACCCCTGGGCTCAGACAATCCTCTCACTTCCGCCTCCCTAAGTACTAGGATTACAGGTGTGAGCCACCATGCCCAGTTTATAATTCTGATTTTTAAAAATTTGTTGAGACTTGGTTTTGGGCCTAACATATGTTCTATCCTGGAGAATGTTCCATGTACTGATGAGAAGAATATGTATTCTGCAGTTGTTGGGGAAAATGTTCTGTAAATATCTGTTAGGTCCATTTGGTCTAAAGTGTAGTTTATTTATTTATTTATTTATTTATTTATTTATTTATTTTTTGAGTTGGAGTCTCACTCTGTTGCCCAGACTGGAGTGCAGTGGCCGCTCCCGGCTACCACAGCCTTGACCTGCTGGGCTCCGGTGATCCTTCTGCCTCAGCCTTCCAAGTAGCTGGAACTACAGGCATGTGCTACCACGCCTGGCTCATTTTTGATTTATTGTAGAGATGAGGTCTCACCTGCCCCGGCGGGTCTCGAACCCGTGGGCTCAGGCAATCCGCTCACCTCAGCCTCCCAAAGGCGTGGGATTACAGGCTGAGCCACCAAGCCTGGCTAAAGTGTAGTTTAAATTCCATGTTTCTTTGCTGATTTTCTGTCTATGTGCTCTGTATTAATATAATAATGTAGCCTTTTCAGATTGGATTCTTTCACTTAGTAATATACACTTAGGGTTATTCATGTCTTTTTGTGGCTTGATGGCTTATATCTTTTTAGCACTGAACAATATTCCATTGCCTGGATATACTAGTTTATTAATTCATTCAACTGGTGAAGCCATTTTGATTGTTTCCAAGTTTTGGTAATTATGAATACATCTATGCACAGATTTTATGTGGACATAAGTTTTGCAGACTATAATTTTTCATCTCTAACTGTCAGTATCCAAAGATAGTGGCTGGTAGAATTTGATCCAAGTAGTACAGCTATCAATCTAGTTTCCACTATACCTCTTCACCAAGCCAACCATACTAAATGTTAGCAAAGTCAATATGAAGATTAAAAGAACCACAGAGGAAGTACTCATATGACTCAGAATTTATTATGCTTGGAGATGATTAGACTAAGAGTATCTAGTAAGTACAGACTAAATGCAATCTTGAATTGCCCTTTTATTGCATGATACCTTCCGACATGCTATGGTTACATTTAACCATAAATAGGTTAGGCTGTAATTAAATAAGAAGTAACAAGTACATGGCTTGCACTTTATAAAGAGTAGGACAGTTGAACCACATGGTGGTGCCCAATATATTTTTAATGCAGATCCTGATGACAAGGGAGAAATGAAAACCCAAGACTAGCAAATGATTAGAACTGAAGTCCACAGATACCTAAGCAAAGAGATTATAAACAGATGGTCTTTGGTTTATGTTGTAGATACTGCTTTTCTGGTTTTTGTTTTGTTTTGTTTTTTGAGTTGGGAGTCTCACTCTGTCACCCAGACTGTAGTGCAGTGGCACACTCATGGCCACCCCAGCGTCGATTTGCTAGGCTCTGGCGATCCCTCTGCCTCAGTCTTCCAAGTAGTCAGAACTACAGGCATGTGCTACCACGCCCGGCTAATTTTTGGATTTATTGTAGAGATGAGGTCTTGCCAAGTTACCTGGGCTGGTCTCGAAGGTTTTTGTTTGTTTTGTTTTCCTTTGCTGGTAATTCTGTGCTTCTGAGCAACTGACCAGGTATGAACTGGGATTCCCATGAACCTCTCCTTGGGTTCAATTAATTTACTAGAGTGGCTCACAGAACTCAGGTAAAAAAATTACTAATTTTTAACAGTTTATTATAAAGGATATTACAAAGGATACAGATAAAGAGATATATAGGGCAAGGTATGGGGAAAGGACATAGAGCATTCATGCTGTCCTGGGGTGTACCACCGTTCAGTAACATCCATGTGTTCAAATTACAGATATTCAGGATCAAAGAACAACAACAAAAATAATTTCATTTTTAGAAAATAACTAAACTTCTACTAAATTAATAACTTCATTAGTAACCCTAATCACCAAAGAGCAAAGTACATGCCACCTTTGGAGAACTCAGAGACTTAATTTTAAGACTGTTATTTCCCGATAGAACCCCATGCAGGAGAAACTCCTAGGACCACATAAATCTATCAACTGTATTATTTTGCATTTATTTAAGTAAAATATTCAAAATGAATTATTTTCTTATACATAATTTTCTGATTAAAAAAATAAAAGTTGCTGGGTGTGGTGGCTCACGCCTATAATCCCAGCACTTTGGGAGGCTGAGGTGAGAGGAATGCCTGAGCCCAGGTGTTCGAGACCAGCCTGGGCAACTTGGTGAGACCTCATTTCTACAATAAATCAAAAAATCAGCTGGGTGTGGTGGCTCACACCCGTAGTTCCAGCTACTTGGAAGACTGAAGTGAAAGGATCATCTGAGCCCAGCAGGTTGAGGCTGCAATGGCCATGAGCATGCTACGGCATGACAGCCTGGGCAACAGAGTGAGACTCTAACTCAAAAATAAAATAAAATAAAAATAAAATAAAATTTAAAAAGTTAAGTGCTTGACACAAATGAAATCAGCTTTTCTCATAATGAAATTTCAATCTACATGATTTAACTTGTGTTCATTCAACTATATTATATATATATATATATATATTTTTTTTTTGAGTTGGGGTCTCATTCAGTCGCCCAGACTGGAGTGCAGTGGCACGCTCCTGTCCACCACAGCCTTGACCTGCTGGGCTCCGGCGATCCTTCCACCTCAGCCTTCCAAGTAGCTGGAACTACAGGTGTGCACTACCATGCCAGGCTAATTTTTTATTTTATTGTAGAGATGAGATCTCGCCAAGTTGCCCAGGAGGGTCTCGAACCCGTGGGCTCAGGCAATCCACTCACCTCAGCCTCCCAAAGTGCGGGATTACAGGCTGAGCCACTGAGCCTGGCTTATATTTTATATCTAAACAGTAAAATCTTCATTTAAGAATAGGATAAGGATAATTTATGTGGGAGACCTGAATTTACTGTTCCTTTGGCCAGTTTTAGTTCCCATGTTCCCCCTTTCAGGATGAGCATCTTACCACAATGAACATAATTCTAGAGAAAATGCCTTTATTTCTTATTACACAGACCCCAAACACAAGCCAATTATTTCATCTGATGTTCAAAGAAAACATACACTGTTCTGATTGTGGAGCAAAACCTGGCCATGTTAAGTGGTCACGTTAAGGCTATTAGGATAGTACACTGACTTCAGTATGGTGCCTTCTCTCGTTTTTTAATTTAAAAAAAATTTTTTTTCCTGAGGAAAACTTTTTGGGGGAGGAGGGAATGGAAATTTCACCAGAGAATAAACTCAGAGCTCCTTCAAGGGATTTTTGGGGTGATACTGACCCTAAACATTTTTTGCTTGAAGTGTTTGTTAACTTTGAATCTGACATTTTATTAGCTGCAATGTCATTATAATATCAAAACCATCCTTTCCCTTATACACAGCAGAGCAATGAAATATCTGATGATAGTCAAGAGTAATTCAGCAACCTGGACTCATAGCTTTCAAGGGTTATCAATTTTCCTTCCAGTCTAATTTTTTCAGATTCTAGGAAAATAAGGTCTGAGCCTTCTTTTAGGGAGAACTATAACTTAGTTGCTGGGTCAAATACTCGATATTCAAGGAGTATTTATCATTGTGTGGATAACTGATATTACATGAATAACAGTGGGCACACCCTGCAGTATTGCAAAGACGATAAGAAGAGGGAGACTTAAATAACCACATTCCAAAGTACAGTATGTTATCCAGTACACCAATTCCAAGGGTGTTTATAGCTGTTAGTGGGGGAAAGGGTGTGGGTTCTGTGGTCATGTAAGTTTGAGAAATGAGAAGCTAAAGGTAAGAATTAATTGATCTGGACTGTTTAATTCCCAGTAATATTCAGGGTATAGTGTTTGATCTTATCTGATCATAGAATCCTTTTTTTGTGGAACACTTTACAGGACTAGCTCTAATATGTATACTTCGGAAGCTACCAGTTTAAACTATACCAAGAGGGGATTAAATTAGACATTTAGAAGAACTTTCAATCTTACAGGGTTGAAAGACACTGGGGGTAACCAAAAATAGCATGATTTTTCTTTGGATTAAACCCTGGGATATCTAGATTCTAGCTTTGGCTTCCTTATGTAGTTCGTTGCTCTTGAATAAGTCATTTAACTTTTCTGGGATTATCTCTAAAAGCAAGATTGATCTAGAGCTATAGTATTGAATATGGTAGCTACATATGGCTATTCGTGTTTACATTTTCATTTAAATTAAAAATTCATTTTCTCAGTCTATCCACATTTCAAGTGTTCAATAGTCACAGGTGGCAATCACATTACACAGCACAAATACAAAGGAAGTTCTACTGCACAGTGCTATTCCAGATGATTTCTAGGATACTTTCTATTCTTACAATTCTATGATTCCTCAGAAGTTTGTTTGTAAGGAACTGAAGAATTAAAGGGGTTAAGTTGAAACATGATATTGTGGGTACACTTTAAAGCCCAGACTTCTCTGCCACTATACAATGCAACTATGTAACCAAAAACTATTTGTATGTCCTAAAGCTATTGAAATAAAGAAAAAAAACAATGTGATATTATTACTTGAAGATTTTAAAGAATGTATAATTTGTTTCTTGGTGTACCTGAAGGCAAGAAGATTGCCAAGCAATTGCTTTCAGCCTCATGATTCTATAATTTAAATGACAGTACCCAGTAACGGTCACGATAATGACTAGACAGAGTATATCTTGAGAAAAATTCTGAGGTTAAATGTGGCCTCAGTGGGAAAGATTATAAACATGATGCCATGTTTCTTTTGTTCCTGGAACCTACTCATTACTTAGAAAACCTGTATGCAGCTCAAGACAACTCTCCTGAAGCAGAAAATGTAATTAGAAGGTTCGAGTGTCTGTCTGTGATTTCCAATAAAAGCTAAAAGATATGTTTAAGCGACAATAAACTACTTACCTGAGTCTGTGATTGGCTGCAGGATTAAGCTTCCTAATTTGTTCAAACGTCAAATCACACAATCGACCAGTCCCATCAGTCGTTCTATCTACTGTGTTATCATGCATTAAGACAGGAATCCCATCAGAAGTAAACTCAATGTCCAACTCCACGCCTGTCGCTCCATTCTTAGCTGCCTTAACAAAAACATCAACAATATTACTGTCAAATGGCCACAAACATCATTTTGCATCTAATCACTCAAGAAGATCAGCAGGGCTGGCTAACTACACAGCTGCTTGTGTTGAGCCCTTCCCTTTCCCCTACCCAACAGCAACCCTGACCTGTTTCTGTTTTCCATGGATGCTAACCTTACCTCAACTCTGAAGATGGATTCCTTAAAAAACTTCAATTTCCCCTCTCTTCCAACAGACGGGGAGACTGGCAGATGGGGAGACTTCGGAAACTTCAAGTTTTCTCTGATGCTATTAACTACTTGGGCCAGTGGTTTGCAAATATGTAGACAAGTTCCACTGTTTACCTTCATTCTCTGTTGGTACAGGAGCTCTGGTGATGGCCCAGTGTTTGTTAATTAGTCATGTATGTCACTACTTTGGCATAAACAATATGAGTCAGGTTTTTGTTGGTTTAACTCTACCCTCTACCACAGAAACACCAAGCCTGCTTCTAGGGACACTACATTTTGTTTATGCGAGCAGCACTGGCTGTTAGCCTATAAGTTGGTAAGGCTGATGAGTTATATTAAAATTAATCTAAAAGATCATTTGAACATTAAATGTTATGAGCCATGCTCCTCTGGAGACACACTGGCTCATGTTTGCTTCCTTGGCTTCCTTGTTGCAATGAAGATGTGAAATGCTCATTATGATCAATATTTTTAATTAAAATTTGTAAAGTCATGATCCATTGCATACATACACAGTAAACAGTAAAAAAGATTTAACAGATGTTAATATTTTGCCCTATTTGCCTCAATTTCTTTCTGCCCTTAAAAAAATCGCTATTATTATTACTATTATTATTCTTATTGAGTTGGAGTCTCACTCTGTCACCCAGGCTGGAGTGCAGTGGCACACTGCTCATGGCCAACACAGCCTTGACCTGCTGGGCTCAAACAATCCTGCCACCTCAGCCTTCCAGGTAGCTGGAACAAAAGGCATGCGCCACCACACCTAGCTAATTTTTTAAATTTATTGTAGAGACAAGGTCTCACCATGTTGCTCAGGCTGGTCTTGAACCCTGGAGCTCAGGCAATCCTCTCACCTCCGCCTCCCAAAGTGCTGGGATTACACACTTGAGCCACCATGCCTGGCCAAAAATCGATATTATTTATTGAACTTTTTCTATTTGCCAGGCACTATTCTAAGTGCTTTAATGTGTTAATTCATTTACTCCTTACAAACCAGAAGCAGGTACCATTAATAGATAAGAAAACAACCAAATAAAATAGAAAACCCCAGGGCTTAGTAGTTACCAAAAAAAAAAAAAAAAAGGTAAGGAAACAGACAAAGAAAGATTGAGAAACCTGCCTGGGGTGGTTACACAAGCTAGGATGTCATAGAAACCGCACTCTTGACTACTATGACTTTACTGTTAACACAACAGATATAGCTACAATTCTGTTCCTCCTCCTCCCTTCCCCTCCAGGTTGGCATGTATCATTCCCATATCACTACCTTATAGGTTTTTATATATTTACTACACATGTAAGTACCCATAAACAACACAGAGCACTGTGCTAGTGCTTAGTAAACATTCAATAAATGCTAGCCATTGTTATGTATTATGTTCTTTTAAACACATTTTAAAGGTAATATAGTCAAATGCATCAATCACCCCCTTTATGGGTGGAAATTATTTTGCTCTATTTAAATCTTTTCCTTTTCTCATATAATAAAGATATACAACTATATTTTCCTCTATACTTCCAAGTATGATTTTCACATATTTGACCAAGATATCTCCCACCTCCCCAAACCCCAATTTCATCACTAACTGGCTATGTCATCTAAGAAAAGTTACTTATCTACTCTAGCCTCAGTTTCATCATTTTTAAGATGATACTCTGAATGATTCAAGAATTGTGAGGACTTAGAAAGAATTCCTGTAAATCACCAAGTCCGGTACCTGGCTCAGAGTTGGCACTCCAAATAGCTAAAATGATTAGGAAAAAAAGCATAGTGAAAGTCATTACTATAATACTTACATCTATGCTGGCTAAAAGGTTTTAACAGTATGTCTTTTCCAAGTTAAAAATGGAATATGTAACCAGTAAATCACTGTGGGTTATACTTTTGTTTTTCTATCACCTAGGCTGGAGGGTAATGGCATGATCATGGATCATCTCAGCCTTGACCTCCAGGGCTCAGGTGACCCTTCCATCTCAGCCTCCTGAATGGCTAGGACTAGAGACAAAAGCCAATTTTCTGATTTTTTTTTTTTAGATGTCATCTTGCTATGTTGCCTAGGCTGGTCTCGAACTACTGAGCTCAAGCGATTCTCCTGCCTAGGCCTCCCAAACTGCTAGGATTATAGGTGTGAGCCACCATGCCTGGCCTAGTGATATGTTTCATCATGTAAAACAAAATCACATTTTCAGTATACATGGTGCATCTCTCTCACTATAATACAAATCCTTATTCCTTGATGCCAGCACTATCGTTATGTTCAATTATACTTTTATTCACTAAGACCATTTTTATTTGGCTATAACACAAAAACTAACAATGGTGAGATATGGTATTTTAGCAATACTAAAATTAATGACTATTTCATTTATTTGCTTTTTCTGAGTAGTTTATTATAGCCAAAAACAGAAGGAAAAAACTCTACAATAGAAACTCTATATTAGAGTATCATAGATCAAATTTTCTAATGACTGCACTCAATTTTCTTTACTAATACTTCTATGTCATTCCAGCTATAGAGACAAAAAGAGGAATTCCTGGTTCTAATTCATATATTAATAAATATAGGTATACCTCAGAAATACTGTAGGTTCAGTTCTAGACCAACACAATGAAGTGAACATTGCAATAAGTCATACAGATGTTTAGGTTTCCCAATGCATACAAAAGTTATGTTTATATTATACTGTGGTCTATTAAGTATGCAATAGCATTATGCCTATAGATATGTTTATGCATATCTTAATTTTAAAATATTTTATTGCTAAAGTGATCTGAGCCTTCAGAGAGTTGTAATCTCTAAGCTGGTAGTGGGTTTTGCCACTACGTTAATGGATGCTGACTGATCAGGGTAGTGGTTGCTGAAGTTTGGGGTGGCAGTGGCAATTTCTTTTTTTTTTTTTTTTTTGAGTTGGAGTCTCACTCTGTCGCCCAGACTGGAGTGCAGTGGCCGCTCCTGGCCACCACAGCCTCGACCTGCTGGGTTCCAGTGATCCTTCCGCCTCAGCCTTCCAAGTAGCCGGAATTACAGGTATGCGCTACCACGCCCGGCTGATTTTTTGATTTATTGTAGAGATGAGGCCTCGCTGCCCAGGTGGGTCTCGAACCCGCGGGCTCAGGCAATCCACTCACCTCAGCCTCACAAAGGCGCAGGATTACAGGCTGAGCCACCAAGCCCGGCTTTTTTTTTTTTTTTTTTTTTGAGTAGGAGATTCACTGTCATCCAGCTGGAATGCGGTGGCACACTCATAGCCACCACAGCCTTGACCTGCTGGATTCAGGTGATCCTTCCACTTCAGCCTTCCAAATAGCTAGAACCACAGGCATACACCACCATGCCTGATTTTTTGATTTATTGTAGAGAAGAGGTCTCACCAAGTTACCCAGGCTGGTCTTGAACCCCTGGGCTCAGGCAATCCTCTTGCTTCCACCTCCCAAAATGCTGGAATTACAGGTGTGAGTCACCATGCCTGGTATAACTTGTGGATTCTTTGGCTCATCCCTAAAAGGAATTTTAGAGCAGCCAGCAAAGTTTTAAAACAGTTTGTTAGTGAGAAGAAGAGAAGGAAAAAGGAAGTTTCATGGCAGAAAGACCTGTCACGGGCAAGTTTCTCAAAAAAGAAAAACTGCTGGCAATTTTTAAATGGACTCTTCCTTTCACCAAAGATTTCTCCCTAGCATATAATGCTGTTTGATAGCATTTTACCCACAGGAGAACCTCTTTCTTTTCTTTTTTTTAAAGCAGGATTTATTGAGAGAACAGAAAAGCTCCCACAGTAGGAGGGGACTCGAGGGAGTTGCCCGAGAACTTCTTTCAAAATTGGAGTCAGTCCTCTCGAGTCCTGCCATTGCTTTATCAGTTAAATTTACATAATACTCTAAATCTATAATTGTTGTTTCAACTATGTTCACAGCATCTTCACCAGGAGTAGACTCTATCTCAAGAACCACTTTTCTTTGTTCATCCGTAAGAAGCAATTCCTCATTTGTTAAAGTTTTATTATGAGATTGGGGCAATCAGTCACATCTTCATGCTCCACTTCTAATTTTGGTTCTCTTGCTATTTCTACACATCTGTAGTTACTTTGTCTAATGAAGTCTTGAGTCCCTCAAAGTTATCCAAGAGGGTTGGAATCAACTTCTTCCAAGTTCCTGTTAAGTTGGTTTTGGCTTCCTCCCATGAATCACGAATGCTCTTAATGGCATCCGGAATGGTATATCCTTTCCACAAATTTTCAAATTACTTTGCTCAGATCCATTAGAGGAATCACTATTTATTGTAACTATAGCCTTAGAAATGTATTTTTTAAATAAGACTTGAAAGTCAAAATTACTCCTTGATCCACGGGCTGCAAAATCAATACTGTGTTAGCAGGCATGGAAACATTAATCTCCTTGTACATCTCCATCACAGCTCTTCGGTGACCAGGTACACTGTCAATGAGCAGTGGTATTTTGAAAATAATCTTTTTTTCTGAGATAGCAGGTCTCAACAGCAGGCTTAAAATAGTCAACAAACCATGCTATAAAGAGATGCGCTGTCATCTAGGCCATTGTTTCATTTATAAAGCACAAGCAGAGTAGACTGAGCATCATTCTTAAGGGCCTTAGAACTTTTGGCATGGTAAATGAATACTAGCCTCAGCTTAAAGTCATCAACTGTGTTAATCCCTAACAAGAAAGTCAGTGTGTCCTTTTAAGTCAGGCACTGACTTTCTCTAGGTATTAAAGTCCTTGATGGCATCTTCTTCCAATAGAAGGCTTTTGCA